TTATTCTGTTCCCTTATTAAAGAAATTAAGCAACTTTTAGTATGGCAGTTAAAGAAACACCTTTAAAAAAAAAAAGAGGAAAGCAAAGCACACAGGTGGCCCAATCTTGCCGTTGGTGCTGAGGTAAAATAAGGCCCACTGTTCTCAACATGAAAACTAATGACCATAATGGCTTTACGTACATGATGGCTGCACTGCTGGACTGAGGCTTAAGCCTCTCCCCTTCTTGGCTCCATCCCAACCACTTGCATCTAGACACCTATGGGTTCTTATAAGGAGGACAGTTGCACTGAATACAATCATGGTATCTCTGTTACTTAGTCTTTTGGCTGTCGTCTGTTTCTCTGTGTGCTTCTACTAGGTTAGTCATACAGTGATTGCAATTTGTCTAGACATATTCTGTTTTTAAATGGCAAAGGAAAACTGATCAAATTCTATACTTAAAAGCAGCTATATTACACTGTTAGGTTTTTCTACTGGTTCAAATGTCTTTATCTGCCATCTAGTTCTCTATATAGTAGTCTCTGATGCATGTAGATGTATCTAAATTCAGTCTTGGGCAGTGAACAGTACCACTGTACAAATTAATCACTGGCTGAGGATCTTGGTCCTACGTTGATTTAACTTTTATTAGTAACAATGTGCAAAAATCTGACCTTTTTTGGCCTAGGAAAAGTTTCTCTGTGCATGGCATGGCTTACAAGTCTTGTCATTCCCCAGTTAAGCTTAAGCAGGCAAACCCAAGTAATTGTATATCTAATCACAGCTAAGGAACACATGTGTGCTTGCTCGGTCAGTATGAGTGGTCTTGGCTGATTGTCAGCAAAAACTGTCCTTTGAGAATATGGATTAGAGGGGGGCAAGTGCTTAAGTGCTCAGTTGATTAAGTTCTAAAAAGACTTCCGAACTGTTTTGCAGTATCCTGCACTACACTGTACCTTTTCTCTAAAAGAAGTGAGAATGGCAGGCTTTCTCATGTACCAGCTAACATTAGTTTAGTAAATCTGTAATGATTCAGGTGTCCAAGCAGCTCACAGATTCCTTCACGTATAGTGATTTCTGGTCAGCTTTGGTTAAAATAGTCCATATGCTGCTTTCAGCTTGTATATAGATATGAACCTAGTAAGGTCATTTCAAGGTCCTGTTTCTGACTTCTGTAATGTATTATAAACAGTTTAGCTTGATATTCTAACAGCTTAAGTTTCCACTGATTAGCTAGGTCAGGCCAGAGTCACGAACAGGAACGTGGCTATGAATCAGGGGAAGATAGACTGAAAAACTGTTTTCCTGTGGAGGACACTTTCTGGAAGTGTCTCTAGAAGATCTGTTTCCCTGTACTATAGCCAAGACTCCAAACTTGTTTGAGGGTCTAATCTGAAACATCATGTTGGCCTCTAAGGAGATTGAGTTCTTGCACATGGGTTGATCTGTGGACCATAAATATTAGTCATGAGAAAATAAAGTGTATTAGAACAAACTTATTTTACTGCTCCAAGAGGCTCATCAGAGTGCACAAAATTTCTGCAGGTTGATTATATACTGTCATTTGAGCTGTGGTAACTGTCTTATGTCTGAGTCCTTCAGGCCCATTTGAAAATGTTTTAACAGGGCACTGCAAATAAAACATTTATAAGTCTCATCTCTTTTGAAATCGCTGGTCTACGGTTTAAATTTGGTTCTTAGGAAAGAAATTCCTAAATGTTTGCCAATGCCTCATGAAACTTAATGAATCAATCCAGGATATGAACGAAAAGTACCTACTCCTATAAAAGCAAGTATCAGCTAATTAATGCTGTTTGAATTGGAAGAACTGCAAAAGAGACATTAAAAGCAAAAGAACTTTCTATGTGGCCTTCTACAATCTAACAGTACAAAGTAAACTTAATTCATGTTAAAACAATAGTGTAAGAAGTAGATGTATATACAAAATGTTTGGGTTTGACCTTTTTAAATAATAGTGTTTAAGTGGTATTTTGCTGAAAGAAATGACCATTTATATTGGATTTCCTCTGGGAAAAGTACATGCAACATACGTTGCACGTGCAGTTAGGGAACGTGTACAATAGTAACAGCCAAGTATTTCTCCTGCATTCTATATTTAAAATATCATGTTTGATCTTGGATTTCCTGCAAAATCCCTCACTATGGTAAGATGTCTTTCAAGTGTTGCCAGGGTGTATGCCTCAGGACATGACAGAACACAAGAAGGACTGAAAGCAAGGGCTGACCACTAAATAGCACTAGTGCTTTTTGGACTGCTGCCCATGAAAGACCCACTGTTCCTACCAGAAATCTAAATTTCTGGAGTTTTAGTAATGTAGCTTTAGAACAATACCAAGTATACAAAGAATTAGTCTGCTGAATGACAGCAGGAGTACGAAGAAAATAGAGAATCTCTTTCCTTGGTGCTGACTTTCTGTGGCTTGATGAAAACGTAGGGATCACAGGCAGGTCTTTTTCACTGACAGGAAGAGAGGGCAGGAGAGAGATGCTAGTGTATGACAGCTGCTTCCTTTATCAGATTACGAAAAGGCTTTCAAGAAAATATTTGCTAGAACTATCAAATCAGCTATTTGTTTCACTCAGTTCTTTCCACTGGCTTGTTACTAAAACAGCAGCATAATCAGCAGGCAGGTGATACTGCATCTTGAATAAGCTTGTATCCAAAATTTTCTTTGTTTGGAAGTGGGTGGCCTACTCCATCAACATATACTTGCCATCCTGTGGGGATATCTGGGAGAACATCAGTCCCCAGAGTGGGTCTGTTCCCACAACAGGTATAGCTGAGGGAAGGAGTGACCTGCTTGGCTGAAAATTCAAGACTGAGTTGGAGGAAGACTTGCAGTTAAACTGCATGGGTGATAAGGACCTGGCTAGGTGATTTTTTTTTTTTAAACTACAAATGGTTGAACTGAAGGGAGATGAGTATCTTAGTGGCATGTGATGTTTTCCATATTGAAAATGTATTAGGCAGTTCAAAGCAGGTGCCTAAGAGGAGCTGAGTGCTGGAGCTGTGGCTTATTGGGCCCTCTGTGCCATATCACTTAGTCGAGGAAAAGAGTATAACCTAGTCTTCACAAAGGTATTTGTCATTTGAGTGGATGCTAGTTTGTGTCTAAGGGCATCATTTATTGTCCAAGAGGCATGAGGTAGTTGAACATCTTATTCTGTCGAGAATTGAAGACGTTGTTCTTCATCTCTGGGATGAAGTCGTATTATTTTGGGGAGGAGACTTCCTTTGGGCGACATCTGGAACTTAAAGCCTTGCTGTGCAGTCATGCAATGTGTATTTTCTTTCTTTTTCATTCAAGCTATTCCTGGTAATAAGATTCCTGCTTTCTCCAATTTGCCTATTGTCTTCTGTGTAGATTGCAAGTTATTTGTAAATAAAACCTCAGAACAAGATGGCAATAGTGCAGTGGAGTCCTGAGCTATAAATACAACACTAAACCTAAGAAATTATACAGTAATAGAAATAAAAATAATGTAGTAGGTAATTGCCTTGGGAATTGGTATTAAAAAATACTATCAAACCCTAACATGGCGTGTAAAGCTGATTTCACTCGCATGTTAAGATAGCTTTGCTCCTGTTTCAGAGCTGAGAGATGAAGAAGTGTAACTTTTCCTGCATGGGTTTTGCTATATGGATGGTGGTGATGGGGTGTGTCACAAATGAACATTGATGCAGGTTGTTAGCATTTCCAATCATGAGCAAACCAAATAATGTATAGTAAGACAAGCTATTGAAGCTCCACATTAAAGAGCCCCCAAGAGTTTCAAAACATGGTGGTAACTATGTCTATGCTAAGAAGCTTTTGAGCCATGCCAAGCCAGTGACTGAAACAGCTGTGTTATTGAAAAGTAAGCTTTGTAACAATGAAAAGATTCTCATGTAGTTTAGCAAACAATAAAAATGGGATTAACTATGAAGTTGGCTTTCTTGAAGCCCTCAACATATTTTCACTGTTTGGTCTTTTGTGTAATTACAGAACTAGGACCGCAACATTTGAAATTCCTTTATTATTGAAATATATTTAATAACAGGGTTTAAATAGCTATTGGCCATCAGATGAGCCAGAAAATATGACTTCCTTTGTAACTAGAAGAAGTACCTTTTGGGTTTAAAACCCTGTTTAAGTAAAACTGCTATTTGTCACAGAGCCTTTAAGAAAAGGACAATACTTGATATGTTTCAAAGTATTGATTATGTTGGAGGAAAAGGATAAATAAGGAGAGAAATTTCCTTTCCATTATTTTGAACAGAAATCAATGCTAAATGGAAACGGCCAAAATCACTTGGGACTTTTAAATTGGGCTATTTTTAAAAAGGAAAAAAACCCCTCAACAAAAATTGTATTATAAATAAAAAAAGCCCCATCCTTTTAAATGAGCTTTTTAAAAAGAGGAAGCACTACATACATTTAAAAGACAAGCTGAATTGAAAGTATAAAAGCAAAAAAAATTCAGAGGTAGGGTCCAGAGGTAAACTCTGGGCTGGATTCAGCTGAGAAGCTACTGCCTCTGAAAATTGCTGTAGATCTAATGATAACTAAGTACAAGAAATAACTCAAAGCTACCAAATCTCGTGATCACTGGAAAGATACTACAGTGATAAGTGACCACAGAATAAGAACAGCACCCAAATGCAGAGTTTGTTCTGTATCTTCTACCTTGCATAATGCTACCAGAGAGAAGAGCTGGAATAGGCTTTGAGAGCTGAGTATGCCTAAAATACCCTTCTAAATTATTCAACACAATCTTATATGGTTTGGTAGGTGAATCCAGGTTAGATTATAATAATAGCATGTTCACAGCAGGAGAATAAAGCCAAAGTTTGGTATTTTGGTGCCTCTGGGTAGACTATGTAATTCTAAAAGTCATCCTCTCTATTTATTTTACATTCTTTGTTTGGAACAAAATATAACAAAAAGATGAAAGTCTGTCTATTTGCATGTAACTTTCGTACTTAGCTGAAAAAAGTCTGTAGAGTATGGATCATGTGATAAAGCCATTTTAATTGTTGATATAAGGGAATATATTTTTCATTAAGTAGAGCGTGGTATTAAACTGTATTCTGTACCTAGCTGTAACAAGAATTCTGTTTCTGCTGCTCTTCGGCTTGTATAATTAAACTGGACAGAAAATGGCATGGACATAGACAGCAGAGACAACCTTCTTCACCAAGAGAAGAAACTAGTAACAAACTACTGAAAATGAAACACTGAGACTTTGCTTCAGAAGGATGCAAACTCATATCCCAAAGGATAATATGGCAAGAAAGCTGACAGTAGTACGTAGTTAAAGTTGCTCTTTCCTCATAATTGAGATGTACTCTTTCCTTAGATCTAGAATGTTCAGGTTGTGTTGGTTTAAAATGGGTTGTGGCATGAATATCTGAAGTAATTATTACTGTCAGAAAAGTTTAATTCACTTCTTCACGATAAAAGAGCATTTAACTTATGCTGATTGCTTTTTTCTCTGCTCCCTGCCCACCCCCTCCTCCCCCCCCCCATCTGCCAATAGCAAAACTCACAAGGTTTGGTCATGTAGGGATCTCGTGGCACCAAAGGATATAAGAAAAATAAAACGGAGTCTTTAAAGATCATTTGAAGCCAAGTAATAGAAGGGAGGCATTGAGAACAGAGAGCAGATGTCTTCCCTCAAAGAGTCAGTAGATAAGCTCTGAGCCAGCCTGGTCCAAGCATAATTGAGGGAGCTTTGAACTTTTCTGTATTCCCAGTTTAGCTTAACGTATTGGCTTTTTCCTCAACCTGTTGGTTGTCATATTGTTAGCCAGTGTTGAAGCTGTAAGGGAACAGAAGTAGTTGTTTAATAACATTATGGATTCAAATAATGATAGTGAGAGATGTTTTAAATACATTAGTTGACAAATCTAGAGTTACAAAGAGGTTTCAAAATAACAGATAGATTATAATTAATTTCTGTGGATTTGCAGTGAGAAATGTGCTGAAAATAAAGGCTATTTAGTCAGCTCTCAGTTCAGTTTTAAAAATCAGAACTGCTGAACATATATGAGAAGAAAACTGTTGGTTTTGTTTGGTTATGGTAGCAGCGTTTACAAACCTAAATATCATGAACAAATTACTAACTATGCTTTAGCAATAACAAAGCTATTCCTAGCTGTTCATTGAAGACAGTAACAAATTAATGTGCCCTAGTGTTTGGCATGGTTTTAGGCATCATTAGGAATTTACTTCTAAGTACAGTCTTTTCAAATTAAAGTGAAATTAATTTGCTTCCTTTTTGCCATTATAGATTTGGATTCAGAAGACTGTTACTGTGTAGGAATGGATGTTTATACCCCATTCAGACAGAACATCTGCCTCTGGAAAAATCAAGTTATTACTTACAGCTGGAACACTAAATCTTCAGACAACTGAGGGCAGGAATAGGGAAAAGAGAAGGCAGGAAGAGGTGCTGTGCTACTACTTATTCTTGGCCACATCAAATAAATTGTGGTGATGGAACAGGAAGCCTTTTCTTCCTGCGTCCCATAAATCTACACTTGGATTATTTCCTTTAAAATTCAAAATTATACTTCAAACAGTATTTTTCAGAGTAAGCAAAAGGCAAATTTCTTTTTTCAATACCAATATGCGAACCACAACTATAAAATCTGGGTCGTGTTTTGAGGTGATGTGCATAATTCTAGTTGCTTTCAACTTTGAAGACAGAAAGTGGTCTGGCATGAATGCTGATAAGTGTAACAAGCTTCGTATTTGCATCCCTTTTATCTTCTACAAAAAGGACTTTATTTCAATAAGCTCATTTTATTTGCTAAAAGCAAATCAGTGTTTGGAATCCTATAGCATATTTTTCATGGCTACTTAAGAAGTCTCCAGCAGTGTTTTCAATCAACTGTAGGCCTATGGGGAAAGCCTATTCCACATAACCTAGCATATTATTTCATCATGGCCATTATTTTTAAGCTCTGACAATGGATATTTGTTTTGCTGTTTACCATGTGTTGTGGTACATAATTGGAGTTTAAGAAATATGATTTCAGATTGCTGTGCAATAACTGAGGGAGAGGCTATGACCTGTTCAAATGCACATGATAATTTGGAAATACATTCATCTCTTAGATCTCACTGTATTCAGATACAACTTAAACTATTGAATCCAAGTGATCTGTACAATTGTGAGTTCTGCTTAATTGAGGAAGGAAGGTGCCAAAAGCCTTCCAACAGAGTTAATGTGCGTGGTACTAAGCCTCCTGCATCTTGTCATGCTGGCAGAAAAAAAAAGAACCACAGACCTGCAAAGGTATCCACTATGAGGAAATTGATGCAAACCTGTAGTTGTTGCTAAAGTCAGGAAAGAGTTGGTATCAGAAGAGGAAGCATGGTGAAAGGAGTACAAACCTTAAACTGCCTGACATTTCCTTGGGCCACGAGTTGGTGCTCATTTTCAGGTGTGATGCAGTAAGCTAGTCTCTAAACCAGATGGGAAGAAGAAGAAAAAGTCAGCCATATGAAGTGGGATTATGTCTGTAATCCCCAATCTATAATGGGGAAGTAGCATGAACTTTATTTAAAAAGGTAACTTAAATCTTTAATATCACTGCATCATATGCCCTTAACTCAGCCAGTGAGCGAACAAGCTTATTATAAGACCTTTGGTATTAGCCTTTAATATAAGAAGCAACAGTGGAAAGTTTATGCAAATACTAAGTCCAAATATTTAGCAAGTGCATATGGAAAAGGACATCAGGAACAAGTTGGTATCGCAGGCCTTATCCCCTAAATTCACAGTTTTCTGTTAGTGCTCTACTAAGGTTGACTAGTCCCAGTGGGAGAGGAAGGAGTTACTGTTTCCCAGCTCATCTCCCTTGTCTAACCTTAGGCTGTGCCATTTTGTTTCACATGTAGATTTTGATTTATCAAGCTGGCAAAAGCCTGTTGGGCCAGTACAAATTATTCTTTGACACTTACGAGCCACTAGAAAATGGGTTTGTAAACCCGCAGGAATGGAAGAAAACAGAGGGCTTATAGAATTGCTGGAAGTGAGAGCTAGAAATTCTGTACAACACTGAGATGTTGGAGATGATGAAAACAGGGTGGGTGAAGAGGCCTGCTTTGGCCTGCGTTTCTGAGGTGAACATTAAGTGCGGTGACTGTACTGGTTCAGATACTAGGCATTTACCCCTTTGGGCCTGCCAGGTCAATGCGAGGGGGATGCACCCTATCTAGGTAAAGGGTGAGATCCTATTTTCTGCTTAATTCTCTGTGTGGTAGCGGTGGTTCCGTGACTTTTGCCTAAGAGCATCAATACCTTGCTACATCATTCTGTAACTCTAGCTCTAGGAAAGGAGAGCAATAGGTATAAGTCAGAAAGTCTAGATTAGGCTATAAAATTACAACATATGATAGGACAAAAATTGCTCTATGGTGGTGAGGAGTCTTACTTCCGAGTTCTATTAGAGATTTTAAGACTATAGATAATTTCCTTTGACAGTGATGGTGCAATTAATATGATCAGTGAACCTTAATCCTGTGCCATTTTGAACTGATAAATAAAGTACAGGGGAGTGAACTGTTAGGAAGTATGGATGGATTTTTTTCCCCTAGAAACAGATTCTTTTAAATAGAATTAATATATTAATATTACACATAAATATATAAATGAGGTTAAAAGAACACTATTAAGGTTGCAATGTTAGTTCTTGCTATTAGGCAAATCATTAAAATAAGATGGTCACAAATTCTTTCTCCCTCAGTTTCTGTTTTATTCAGTGCACACACCGAGCATATTATGCATGAAGTGGGTTTACGTAGTGTAAGATGCTGCTGTGTAGTACCCTGGTTCTTTTACTGGGGTAGTTAAAAAACCAACAGGCTAGATGAGATCATAAGCGGTGCCTATATCCAAATTTTCTTGATTTCCAGATCTATTTCAGCACCTTGGTCTATCTTGAATATTAAGTTTCTTCACACATTCTGATACTAGTTATGAACAAACAGAAAAATCTGCATTAATTCTAGCCTCGGCCGACTGTTGAAATAATCCCAGTAAGTAGAGGATGAGGATACATATTTGACAGAGAGAATGAAACACAAAGTGGATGCTGTTAAAGACAGAATACCAGGCTAAATGGATCTCTTGCTGTGACCCAGTAAGGCATTTCTACTGTCCTTGCTGGATGCTCATTAAATGAACAAAGGTCTTCCTGAACACAGGGTACTTGGGGGCGCATCCCACCCTCCCAGCGTGTAGATATGTTTAGAGACTTATAATGCTAAGATAGGACAGGTCTGAATTAACATTGTACATATAACAGTTTACAACACTCTAGTAAAGACTGAATAAATCATACGTTGGACTGATCTCTGTTTAGTTACGACTGTATGAAGACCATACTTCAGAACCGAATATGAAGATACCATAATTTGTATATTTTTTGTTAATAAGGAAAAAAATAATCTCATCAATTGGATTAATTACATCAAAAAGATTTTTTCAGAATTATTATGGCTCTTTCTTGAAAGCTAATTTCTGTCTAGAAACTCAAACAGCATGTGGTAATCCTACCTCAAAACTCCAATCCATCTGACAGTTGGATCTGAAAGGTCACTCATAAATAATAAGTTTCAGGAGTAAGAGAAACAAACTGCCAACTTAGATCCAACCATTTCATTTCATAGCAACATTTCATGACATTTTATTAGCATTCCACTTACTTCTTTAAAGGTCCCACGCACATTCATAAATTTATAGATAATATAGGCAGGCACAAGTATCATTGAAGATAATGCTATTCCCCAGCCAATGCGATTTGCCCAGAGAGGGAAGGTGTAGTCATCGTAGGTCAAAGGTTTGAAATTTATTATGCTGACTATGACAACAAACTAGGGAAGAAAGAATAAAATGAGCCACAGTTTTGAGATGAAGAAACTTAGTGGAAAACTGGTTTCATGTGTTTTATTAGGCAGCCACCCTAAGGTACACTTCAACTAAGCTTTACCATTTACCTTCATCCTCTTTACTTTGTGCCTTTTACTGCTTAAACTGTTGAAGTTCTTGATGCATTTACTAGTATTAACAATTCAATTTAACTACGCTGGACACAGCTTATTTGATATTTTGGTGGGAAGATCAGGTGGTTGTCTGCTACTGCCTCATTTAAACTAGTGTTACAGATATAAAAATGGGATTCCGTAGTCAAGAAAAACCTCTGCAGGATCTATTGTTTTCCCCTTCTTTGTCTCTCAGAGGCATTAGGCTTCATTTAGAAGTTTTGTACCCATTTTTCAGCGAGAGGCATGATGCGAACTCCAGCATGATACATTTACTGAGGAAAGGTCAAGCAGCTTTCAGGCCTGGAAAACAAAGTAGTTGTTTTTCTCCTGCTGGTGTTACCTCATCCAGTCCTAGA